TGAATATACTGATTCCGCGCCACCAGTTTCGTCGAGATGGCAATGCACCGTGCCGTCTCGATCTTATCGCCCGTAAGCATCCAAATCTTGATTCCCCCATTCCTGAGCAGCTCAAGCGTCCCTTTCACCTCATCCTGCAGCTTATCCTCGACACCGGTCAGGCCAAGCAGCTCCAGGTCATGTTCCAAATGCTCCGCAACGACAGAAATCATCGCTTCGCCGCGTCCATCAAGCCGGATGCTAGCAGCATGATGCGCAGCCTTAAACGCCGCATACTGCTGCGACGTCAGCCGCTTACGTGCAACGACGAGCGTGCGCAAGCCCTCACGCGCCATGTTCCCCGTCTCCTCTTCCAGCCAGTCATTCCGCTGCACGATACGAGCCATAACGACATCCGCGCCCTTTTGCAAGAAAAGCACCTCACCGCTGTGTGCGTCTCGCACGACGATGCCCATGCGCTTGGACTCACTTGTGAAGGGGAATATGTCGAGGATGTCGTAGGTGAGACGTGCGTGGGTGGGCGTTTGGAGCTCCATGCGTGTGCGGTCGCGGAAGACAAGCTTGAGACCGACGCTCTCTGTCCACTTGACGATTGCGACTTCGTCTGGGGAGGAGGCTTGGTAGGTCAAGGTGCCATCGTCGTTGGTGACTGGAGTGACCTAGGTTCCGAGAGGTAAGTTGGAAAGGAGGGAAAGGGAGGTGACGTACATTGTGGCAAAGTGCAAGACTAAGCACTACGTCTCGGAGCCTTGACGACATATCCCTCCGTCCTCTCATGGCAAGTTGTGCGCCTGTAGCTATTGAATTGCTTCTTGCATGAGCTACATTGCATGACTGTCAGTGCATCCGTGATGAAAAAAGTGGATGTATGAACTACGGGCCTTGATCAGCACCAAATGCACTCGCAAGCTGGTGAGCAACTTCGTCCATGCTGTCAAAACCGTAGGACATAGTTCCCATGTGCAGCTTCTTCATCTCCATTTCTAGAGTGTCCGTCAGCCATCTGTGTACACACAAGAAAAATAGAATGTGTAGAGGGAGGCAATAGGTAGAAGAGAGAAAACCCAATTTTACACACCATTTTGCGTAAGGGTTCCGGTTTTGTCGCTAAGAAGGTACTCTATGCGTCCCAGCTCCTCAGGCAGCGTGCTCGTGCGGACAATTGTGCCAGGAATCTCGGAGTCATTCATTATTTGCTGTGCGTAGACCGTCTTGCCCATGTCAAGGTTTACACGCAAACTATGTTTGTAGTAAGCATGACACATAAGAGAAGCGATAGAGGGAAGAGAAAACATTGGCTATATGCGCTCGTCTGAGGGCAGACATACCTGATGGGGATGATAGACGAAAACAATATGAGGAAACGGAACACATAGATATACCACTGTCCCCTGAACCCATTCAACGCAACGAGTCCAAACGATAACGCGAACGTCACCGCACAAAGAATCTGTAGGTGGACTGTCATGAATATTCCCCATAACACAAGTACGTACGTGCATACCTTGGCAAGTCTATTGATCTCCAGATCCAGCAGACCGACCTTGGTCTCAGGATGGCTCGTGTTCATGACAGCGCGCGTCTCAGACCCCGTGTATACGATGAATCCAACAGCAGAACCCGCAGCTAATACTGTGTTGCTCCATAAGAGATTCTCCGCAGACAGGGGTTCAACAGTGGGGACCTGTACCATGGGCACATCATGAACAGAGTGCGTACGGGGCGTGTGTATCGCAAATGTCCCAATGAAAGTGTGAATATCCTTGATTGGAGCGTCGGCTGGGGTTCAAATAAACATCCAGAGGTGAAGAGGGTAGGATGGGCGAGCACACACCATAAACTTCTGCATCCAAATCTAGTAGTTCACTGTCGTTGACAAGCTTCTGAGTAGCGGGAACTGCAACACGAAGCTTCCAGTCCGTCTCTCCATCGAGCTGGTCAGTTCGGATGAAACACGTTCCAGAAGCATCGCTCGTGCGTAAAAGGACCATGTCTGCCGGTACGCGCTGATTCTTCTCCAGTACAACAAGGTCGCCCACCTGGAGGGAAGAGGAGGGGACAGAGCGTGTATGCGGACCGCTGTCGGAGGAGGGAACGAGAATGAGGTATTTCTGGGAATTTGCTTCGCGGTCGCGGAGATTGCGCTTGTAGTCATCATATGCTTCTTTCCCCATTGTAACGCAGAGTACGAATGCGAGGGGTGCGACATATGTGACAATAAATCCTGGGCACACATGAGGTGGTACAGTACCAGCATAAGAGGAATAAGCATACCGATCTTGAGTGCCGGAACGAACTGGGAAAGAGCAACGAGAAGGAAGTAGAGATTGAAAAAGAATTTGAACTGTTCGTATATGACGATGGGAAAGAAAGTGAATATGTTGTATTTCTGATTCCGTACGAGGTTGGGCGGGAACTTGGATTGTAATTTTTCTGCAAAGTTGAGTCAATAGTTTCGTAAGACAAGGAGAAGATGTATACCTGGTGGTCTGAATGGTATTGTCCTGGACTTGTCCTGTGTCTTATGTATACTCGACGGACGCTGTCCCGATGAACGCTGTCTCCACGTAAAACTTGTGGTGCTTTGCGGATAGACAGACAACTCACCCTGGACGGTCGTTTCGACTGTTCACCTACATTTCCCTCTTCGACCTCTTCCAGCGTACTGTCCCCGTTCCCAAGTAAAGTCGCCTCCTCATCGAACTCGTCTGCGTCTGTATATCGTTCGCGCTGTTTGCCCTTTGCCTTTACAGTCAAGTTTACGTTGCGTGTCCCAACAGCTCTCAGAACGCCCGTGGGCATATCGGTATCCTGAGCGTCGTTCAGAGGAACGTACCCGGCTCGTGTCTTTCCTTTGCGTCCAAGAGAGTGCAACGGGATGTTAGACATCAACGTCGACCCGAGGCCAGTCCCACTCAAAAGTCGAGGCTGCAAACCAGGTAATAGATGCCGCCTGATGTATGACGATTTGATGAATGTGACGTCAAGAAGCAACTGGCAGGAAATTAGGGCGCAGGAGAGTAGCACTGCGCTTTTGCGTGAAATGAAGTACCGTTCTCAGATAGGCTCAGGCTAATGAGCAAAGTTGCTGTCGATATAAACGACAGAGGTATAACGCGTGGATCAAGCAACCATGTGTACATGTACGTATACCTAGCTACTATGATTAGTCTGGTACATGCTTGTTCAAAACTTCGAGTTCTAGAGCTTCTATGCTTCCAGGCCCCAGTGTGAAAACTTTATCGGAAAACCGGCAGTATCTCGGACATCGTATCCGAACGCAATGAAGTAAAGAATATTTTTCGCTAGCACATAATGTAAAGCGATGGTCTATCAATATTATCATCTAGTTCAAAGGCCAAGTTCATCCGTGAACGGTAATGTCTGCACACTCCCAATAGCAACAAACGTGGGCTTGGATTTCGTGATCGCAGCGACAGACTACATAGGTGTTTCAATATATCCTCCACACAAAAAGAAAAAGAAAAGTACACACCTTCGAGAATGCAGCAGCATCAACCTTATCTATTGATGCTAGCGTAGCTTCGATCGAAGCATCCGAATTTGCAAAGACCTGTGATCATGAAACTTCCTCAGAGACGTTCTAAAACCACGACCAAATGTATGGACGCACCTTGGTACTGAGAGCGCCGAGGATTCCATCACGACCATCTAGAGAGCTAGCAGCAGCAAACTTGGCTTTAGCCACTGCCGTTTTAAGCGCATCACCATTGAGCCCGGTCGATTCCTTCAATGCATTAGTAGCAACTTTGGCAGCCTCCTTCACCCCTTCGGGGCTCGAGCCCTGGACAAGCAGACCGAAAAGCGTTGCATCCGAATATGGCATAAGAACGGGCTGCACCGACGTGCCCTGGGGAATGGCAGCAGAAATAGGCGAAAGACCCTGCGACCACTTGACAGATGGCTGAGGCGAGAGGTGCGCAGAAAGGATAGCAAGCGCGGGGTCCGCGGGGCCGGCAGCACCAAAGCCAATGAACACCGTCTCAGGACCCCCATGCGACTCCAGCCGCGTCTCACCACCAAAGTACGTCGATGGTTTACTCTCCACAGCCACATTGCCAACAGATGCGCCTCCAAGCGCTTTCTCGACTAACTGTGTGAGTGCAGCTGAGTCGATGCCAGTACCCAAGACAGCAATGTTGCCTTTGCTAAATGCACGAGCTGCGAATTCCTTGACATCGTCAAGGGAGACATGACTGTGTGGGGACGCGAAAAGGGAGGAACCGAGGCCAGAACGGAAAGCGAGCGAATGTGCAAGTTCGAGTGCGCGCGTTGCAGGGTTTTGCGAGGCGGCGGTGCTCTCGGCTTCGACTACAGGGAGAACGTACTCTTGGAACTCATGTCGCTGGAACTTGCTAGACGTGAGGAAGGAAGACATGAGGTCGACGAAGAATGACCTGTAAACATCGTAGTCATTAAAACCAACACATGAAATGTTGCATGTGAGGAAACGGACTCATCACCACGCAAGAACTCGGAAGTAAGTGCCAAATATTCACGGGACAGACTTGCAGAAAGGACGCCGCCGTACAATTCGCTCTCTCTGACTGTGCCCAATGCCGACCTTTTGCCAGTGCTCTGCAAAGACTGCTTCAGAGCGCGTATTCAGAATGGAACATAACACGCACCTTGAAAGCAAAGTTTTTCAGCGTATGCGCGACACCAGGTTTAGGCTCGTATCGGCTGCCGGCCTTAACGAGGAAGGTGACGGCGGTGGTGGGTTGACCGTTGTCGATGGCTGCGACCTTGACCCCGGCATTGTCGACAACAGTGGCGAAGCTGCGCGCGAAGGCCGACGCTCTTCTTGCAAGCATTTGTAGAGATGAATGAGCTTGGACAGAACGGATATCTTTGGACTCAAGTTGCAGAGCGGAGTTGGCTCAAACAAACGGTAGATTCCGTGTTCGTCCGAAATTTTGCTATGTCCGCACCGTGACCACAATTAGCTTTAGGTTGGAGGTAAACTCAGTGCGCAGTAGTTAGGAATCACAAACACATCACATTGCATTACAACCTACGAAAGCAACCGAAAACAGGTAGGTAGGAAAACACGAGCACGCCTGACAGCAAAAGTACACAACAAACAGGAAAGCAAACAAGAAAACAGTCACCAGAAAGCACAAGACAGCATTTCACAAAAAAGCACGAGACAGCATTTAGAGAACAAACATCAAAGATCCTTTACAACTTCCTCGCCCACGCAGTGTGGTAAACCCCAACCAAGCCGGGAACGTGCTCTATGTCTTCAATAAACCCAGTGACAAGGGAGTTGATCTCCTGCTGGGTCATCCCTGTCTCACGGAGCATGGGCTTGAGGCTCTCCGCGAAATCCTTCAGGGCAGCTAAGTACATCCTGCCAACACGCTTCATTACCAGATTATGGTGCCAGTCACCGACGGGGATATGGAACGTCTGGATAGTAGGCACAGTGAACTGATGAGATTGCTGGATGAAACCAGGGATCCTGTCGGCAATGGGAACCAAGTGGCGAAGCTCCAGGGAGCGGTTAACCACCTGAAAGAAGCTTCGCGCATGAGGTGCTTGGCGAGCAAGGTTGAAGGAAGACCCATGGGCAAAGTCGATGGAGCGCCCAATCTCGCCGGAAAAGAATAGACCGCCGGGACGGAGCAACCGAGCAACTTCCCGGAGCAGTTCTGGGTAATCCGTAACCTATTCATGATCAATGAATAAAAGCAACGTGGTGATCAATGAACAACGTACAGCTAGATCGATATTACGAGCATGAATAAAGTCCATAGCTCCATTGTTCCATCTGAAACGTTCGGTGATATCATGGATCTCGAATTGCACATGTCGCAAGGGACGCCTAGTGGCAATCGGAACTGGGCGGAGGGGTAATTTGAAACTATTAATCTTACACGGGTATAAGCAAGCTCACCGATATCAAGCCCGTAGATCTTGACAAGGGGAAATAATCTGGCCATATCCATCGGCCTGCAGGAAGGTTAGCGTAAGAGAAGCACACATCGGAAGTTGATCAATGGATCGCGCACCAACGGCCTGTGCCAGTGCACAAATCGAGCACACGTTTTTGCCTGGAGCGACCGTCGCTGAGTACCTCGGTCACTGGGCCAAGGTAGTGGTATTCGACGGTATCGCGCAAGATTCTATGAAGACTATTCAACCTCTAATGAAAAGTTGGTGATTTTAATTGTATGTGTTGCGTGGCACCTACTGCTTGCTCCGGCCCGTCGACAGGCAATGGATATGGCAAGCTACCATGAGAATGGAAGAGCCTTCCGTCCCTTTCGAAAAAGTGGTCCGGAAAGTCGTATTCTTCGAGTTCTGTCACGTCAGAGGACGCGTCAGAGGCATCGTCTTCATCTGTGAATTGAAGGAATGACGAGTGAGGGAATGCCGCCTAAGGATATAAGCGTTGAACTGACCATGCAGCATATTCTCAGTATACTCGAGGGTCATAAACAAGATATCACAGCGATGAGGACGACTGCGCGACAACTTGATATGATGTGATAGTTGTTGGCAAGACGCCGAAATTGGACCCCGCCGCAATTCCTGAGTTTTATACCGATAGTAACTCAGCGAAACAGGGTAGAAGGCTAAACACGAGGTCAAAAACAAGCGGTCTTTTTGAGTCCAGGTTGAGATGGGAATGGATCCACAATAACGTGTCAGTGTTGGTAAATGGGGAGTGTCAAAAGCTGTATTTGCGAGCTGGTCGGTGGGTTGAAGTCAGGTTGAAGTCAGCGGCTGCCAGGAAGGGAAAAGAAGGTTGGCCAGTTGATGGGGAGTAGAAAGGCCACGCAGGCACGCTCGCTCGAGAGAGGAAAGCAAAGACCGAAGAGCGGCATAGGTGATGCATAAGTATCAGCTGAGGAAAGATGCCAATTTCGAGAGAGGAAAAGACGACAACAACAGTTACGTGATAAGCTGAACCGCCTCAGGTGACCTGCAAAATGGCAAGGGACAATATCAACTTACAGGCAGAAATACCATCTTCGGAGTAGATCTTCAATTGCAATTGATACGGTCACAACAAAAGCGCCTTAGGCCCGTGTCGGACTAGGCTTTCATTACTAAATAACTTGTCATTGGGCAAGTCAATGATGCGCTTCTCACTGTGTAAAAAAAGCCGCCTCATTAGTGGACGGCGCCTACTTCTTGCCCTAGTTTTTGGCAAGCCTGCCGTTGTCCGAGTCGATGCCCAGGGCTACTTTAGCGCCACATGAGAAGCAAATTCACCCCGATTCAGCTTCCTCAGTATTCATGCTGGCCTGGGGATATATATCATTGATGACATGGCTTTTGTCCTACGGTCATTATAACAGAGCATTTTTGGTGAGTCACGATAACATTTGTCTGACAAGCTAAAAGCTGCTGACCGTGAGCATCCCCCACCGGAATGATTCAGTTCGTGGGATTTGCCACTCCCCGAGTTGCCGCATTGCAGCCATACTTGACAGCACACCTGCCAGCAAAGTGCTTGGTTCACGTTATCTGTCGCTTTCTTGACGCGTAACATTTCTTGAAGGCTCCCGTTAATCTGCCAACTGGAACTGGTCAGGCCCATCTAACGGTGGATACTGTTGTTTTGTTTAGGGAGAAAGCTGATGATTTTTTATTTACCTCCGCAGAAGCATCCCCGCGACGCGAGACACCGATCACGTGCATGTCCATGTGGTGTGTTCTGTGCCTTCCATAAAAACGTCCACACAGTAAGTACTAGTGTGCTTCATGCCAGCCATCCCACCATACCATCCCGGTTGGAATTCACTATGCACGATATCAATGCATTTTTCGCTGAGCAAGAACAGCACATGAACCTTCCTGACGAGGACGTGGATGAATATATTCGTGCACGATTGGAAGATTATCATAGGAACAGGTACGCGTGCCATTCAATTGGCTCCCTTCTGCCAGTCCCCCTGAGTAGGATAATTACAGAAGTCATGTTATCGATCACGTTATTCTCGCCCAAGGTCACCCACGCAAAGTTGATACACGCCCTGAACCATTTCTCAATTCTGACAAGAAAGGGGATGAACAGCATATCCCTGACAAAGAAATGCCTATGCAGTACGTCTCACTTACATTCTCACGTAGCTCTTGCGAATCTGAGATCATCATCTGTTCTACAGATTGAAGCGCAAACTCACAAAACCCGAACTTCGAGCTCAGGGGAAGAAGCCAAAGCTATACGAGATTCCCAACGTGACCACGTCAGGAGTACCCATGCTACCTACTGTTTTCTCACGTAGTGACAATGCTGAACATGCTGCAAAGTACGTTGTGTCGACCCTTATCTCAATTTCGGATTAATCAGATCATCCCTCAACTAACACATTTGGACACAGTGCTATAGCTTCTTCAGTCAAGTCACGAAGCAAAGGCAAAGGCGTTAACCAAATTCCGCAACTCACGGCCCGCCGAAATGGGGATGCCCCAGTCGAAACTACATCGTCTTCTCTTATCCGGTATACTAACTGCGGACCGGTCGATGCTTCGTCTATTGCGAACTCTTCGCGAATCCCGAGCTGCAACGTTGAATCAAGCGCTTATGAACATGGGGCAGTCAAGTTACCCGTAGTTGGATCTGGATCTCATATCACGAAGCCCACGATGCACCACGAAGGCAATAGTGACGCCAAACATTTGTCGCCAGCGAGATTGATGCCCCATGATACCACTGCACGAACCCGCAAATCAAGAGTTGCTAAGCTAGTGGCACATGATGCCATCAACGAAGAGCCCACAAATGGCAACAGTCCGGAAGCTCGCATTTTAGATCATAATCACGAGGCATCAGTTGAGAACGAGAAGTTGCAGTCCTTTGCGCCAGAACTTGGCATGCCCAGTCCACAATTAGAGCTACTAGAACCCTCACCCACGAATACCAGCAATATGACGAACCCCAGCAATATCCCCCTTGGAGTATCACGCCACTCGAGTACCCCAGCTTCATTATCATCAGATCCAGGGAGCATTCCACCCTTGTCCAGGGCGACAGTCGTTAAGCATCCAAAGGTCCGGAAGACTGTGAGCAGCTCGAGGAGCAAAGCTAATATTTCAAAGCAAAATAAAGACCAGAAAAATAAAGAAAAATCAGCGCTCGTCACTCCTTTAGAATATGCGCAGAAGTTGAATCTTGACTTGCCAAAGAAGCGCAAGTCTGATTACCTCAAGGGAAAGCAAATATTGTATGTCGGTGGGGACATGCAGTATGCAGGCATCCTGACGCGTGGTCGCATGGACTACGTGAGTTTCCCATGTTTTGCTCACCCTGACCCCCATTACTGGAGACTACTTCCGTATTTCCCGGTCCGCTATTCACGCGTTATCATGTTGTGGCGAAGAAGCTCCGCCTTCAACGCTGACATGCATTACGTATCAATCTACGCGCTGACCGTTGTTTAGTCAATGCCGTTGAGCGATACGTTTCTAACAAAGGTGTTCAGATCATCAAGCATGGTGGCACCTTGGTACCATCGTACGACCCTACTACTGTAACTCACATCGTGACGGATGCGACAACTCGCCCGACCCTGAAAGCCCTCGGACTAAAATCGTTGAAAGAGATCCCTGACAATATCCCAACGGTCACTTGGAGTTGGGTGATATCCGGGTACGGTCGTTTGGGCTATAACAAGCTCAGGGGCAAACACGATGAAGAAGCAAACGATACGAAAGGCAAGGCTAACGCCATAGATGATGATGAAAGTCTTCTCGATTTCGAATTTCTACACGCGGCATTCCCTCAACGCATCCATGCCGGTAGAAGCTGGCAGAAGAGAGGACAGGGAAATTTGGTTCAAACAAAGGTACAAGTAACCGCCTCTACGGACGACCTTGGTGGAGATTTCAGTTACATTTCGTACGTCTGCTGTCAGTTCCACTCCGACCATATTTTTATACCATCCCATTTCTTAGCTCCTTCACTGAAGATCATCTAACTAAAAATCAACAACCCCCAGCGCCAAAGCTAGTGGTTCTTCCTCCTGCACCCCTTACATTTGTTCCCACGGGGAAAGCTTCCAGCACAGCCCATAATAATAATAACCAAAGCAATCACAAGCCACAGTCTAATACAGAAGACCCTCTTGCTGAATTTTACGAGAAAGCGAGGGCTGAACGAGCACAAGCTGTAAGTCGTAACGTCAAACAAAATTTTCTCAACTCAACTATCTCCAGAGAGGTCTTGGACAAAGCGAGACCGACGAGAGCGATCAAGAAGAAGAGTTTTCGAAACCAGCACATGTTCCACGGCGGGTGAGTGGCTATTTTCGAAGGCCCTGAACTAATTTTGAATGTTGTGCTCCTGAAGGGTTTTACATGCGACCGAAAGGAACCTGAGCAGCGCGAATGCATGAATCAAGATATCATTGAAAAGGTTTACATCTACATTTGGGGTTATCTACAACTGATGGAACACACGAACAGCTGGAGGAACTCATGGAGTTGCACAAGGCAAAACTAGGTGAAGATGATCGTTGGCGAGTGTACAGCTACTCGAAATGTACGCAATTTTTGCAGCGGAATTATCAGCGCTGATGACCCTGGTAGGTATTCGTGCCTTGCGCAATTATCCAAAGAAAATCAAATCATTCAATGAGGCCCGGTCAATCACGGGCGTCGGTGAGAAGACTGCCCGAAAGGTGTGTATCCACTGACGCACATTGACGTTACATTCCCATAACACGTTTTGCCAGATCATGGAAATCATCGAAACCGGTGATTTGAGACGCATTGGCTACGAAAAAACGGATGACGTCGAAGCCGTTAACTTATTTCAGGGGATATATGGAGTCGGTATGGAAAGTGTCCGCTCTTCGTTTATCACCTTCTGATCCGTTGGCACAGGCCGACAAATAGCTTATATGTGGTATAATAACGGATGTCGGACGCTAGATGATGTCCGAGCTCGGAAAGGTGGCATTAAATTATCTCGCGCGCAGGAAGTGGGTTTACAATTCTATGATGGTCGGCCCTTCGTGTTCACTCCTATCATTACATGACTGATTTTTTTTTGTCGCCAGATATCAATGATAGAATGCCACGCAGTGAAGCAGAGAGTATCTTCAACTTGATTAGACCCATTGGTAAAGATTTACATTACGGGTTTTCACGATCATTGATGTGATACAAACAGCTCTTGAGCTCGACGAGCACCTTTACATTGATATCATGGGTAGTTTTAGAAGGTTTGTGATGATTTACTTCTGCTTGCCTTACCCTCACGTTCTTCGATAGGGGCAAAGCTACTTGTGGCGACATTGATATCATAGTGACTCGACCAACCTCAGATGGGATAACACATGCAGGTGAACGCTTTTGCCTTCTCATGACTTTGATGTCATTTACGAGGAACATTGACTTAGGTCTTCTTCCGGAGCTGCTTGCCCGTCTGCATGCTGCAAAGATCCTGACAGAGGATTTGGCATTGCCTGATGATTTTTCCGCTCTCGAATTATGTTATCGTGGATTGTGTAAGCGTCCCGAACCGGATGCAAAGCATCGACGCATCGATATCTTATGCGTTCCTTGGGAGAACAGAGGAGCAGCCCTCCTTTACTACACGGTAAGTAACTCGTCTGTCTGCGCTCGATGTTATGACGAGTTCATTTAATTGCAGGGTGACGACATTGTAAGCAATTTGAACAACTGCTATGTGATAAATGATGCAGACATGTGCCGCTACAGTTCAATCGGGCCATGAGAATGAAGGCAAATGTTCTCGGGTATTCTCTCAATCAACGAGGTTTGTATGCAGGCGTGGTTCGAGACCCCCGGAACAGACGTGTCAAGATTTCTGAAGGTGTGTCCTGCAGCTGCAGTTAAGTTTGCCTCATTTTCAATGTCTTTCAAGGCAACATTGTTGCGTCCGAGACAGAAGAAGAAATATTTAAAATTCTAGGTGAGAATCAGCTCACATCGACATCGTACTGATGGCAAACGAAGCTATAGGGGTACCATGGCAGGAGCCGCATGAGCGTGTACGGGGTTGAAGTGATGTAGTTGAGCTCTTGAACTTTACGTCCTGAATGAGGTCGATGAACTTCCATGACTCGTACTCGATGTTGCCAGAAGACGGGTAGTCTTGGGGATCATGGGCAGCATAGACTTCATTATATGCCTTTGACTGGCACTAAGATATAAACAACGAACGATCTTCAAAGGCTTGAACAGATCATAATTCTATCTCAGTGCGGGCTCCGGATCCACAGGACGACAAAGATCGAGGATAGAAGCCGCAGCAAGAACATGCGGAAGAAGGGCAGTGCAATAGGCATATAAGCTGTATCCTTACAGCTTCCATGACCAGATATCCGTACATCCAGTGTTTTCCTTTCGAATCTTCGTGAACGTTGCAGAAGCGGCTTCAAATCGAACAGGTGCCCAATCATTGAAACATCCAGAACGGGTGAATACTAGGCGAAAGGTATGAGACGCGTCCAGTGAATGAGCATTGTATACACTCGAATTAGCAACATGTCATACAGAAATGTAGCATTCGATAAGAAAGATACCTGACTCGGATGTTGAATTGACGTTGATTTTTCTTTGTGTATCTAATCGCAGTGGATTCTGAATTTTTGGAAAATGTAGTCATGGTGAAACATGTGAATCAGAGAACCATTTTACCAAGGCTTCACCCTGAATGGGTACGAGCTGACCTAAAATAGTGCGACTGCATAACTTAAGCACACTGGCTTACTAGAGTTCCCATAATCTGTGCGATACAGAGTACTGAGTTGTCTGACGGGGTAGATGCTTCTCATGCGAGCAGCGGCATAAGTTCTTCAAGTTAGAAAACACATGATTCCGGCTCAAATTTGGACACAATCATGATGGTAGCATCGTGAAGTTGTTGATCAGCCAACTTGTGCACTGTGCACTAGTTCACTCATTATGTGCTTTCACTGAAGACTTGGTTGATAATAGTGCCACCGCACAGTCTGCATGGTCAACATGATAAGAATACCCGAAGCGCTAAGGTTGGATACTATCTCCCGCTAGTGACAGAAAGAACGGACTTGGTCAGTCGTTTGAAAATATGGACCTCTCTCGCTGCCCAGATGAACCACGATATGAACACGGTAACGACCACGCACCCGCTGACGATTGATGCCAGCATGGCCGTCGTTGTAAATTTGAAGACGTTGTACAGAAGGCCGATTGCGAAGTAGATCATCCTGGTGAAGGGCACGTTAATCAATTTCTCTGGTTAGATAATATCGATCCACATACCCCCACATAAGCATCGCATACGGGAGACTGTGAACAGTAGCGAGGGCTTTCACTCCAAAAAACGTGCCTGTCAAATTCGACAGAACTTCAGCCTAAGCAAACTAGTTAGTGTAGCAGAAATGGAAGTAGGGGCGACGGCTTGCCGCTTTGTCGGCTGATTCAAACCCGTATCTCTGGTTCTGACGCGCCAGAAGGACCGATGCAATCAAGGAGCCGGTGATGAAGATGATAGAGAGATAGGTAGCAATGATTCCAATCGACTGTGACTGGCTAATGTTCATGTTCGGCACTGCAAGGAAACTGACGTCTACGGCTAACATGACGGTTGACTGGGAGAAATCAAATCATGAAGCCGAATGGCAACTTGAAGATACTCACGTATATGGTGATCCCAGTCCACTCCGCCATGAGTTTTGTGTTGAAGTCTTTCCATCGCGGCGTGTTGATGCACTCATCCACCCATACCCTTCGAATATCGTTCAAGTGCGCTTGCGGTGCCCAAAAAAGCATGGCTTCGAAAACAAGAGAAAAAGGTGCGATCAGTGGATGAAAGCCTGTATCCTCTTCATACACGGATCTGTCAGCATCGAGTCGAGCACAAGGTAGGCCGCAGAAGTTGAAAAACTTGGCTCTATCTTCAGAATGAATGAATAACCTGAACCCGGCGGTGAAGTGGAGAACGTACAGAAATACTGCATGAATCTAGCTATTGATAAAATAATGAAAGTCAAAGGAGATTGCACCGTGTGCATAGGCTTTTCTTACCAATGATGCAAGTGGAATGAGGAAAATCCTTTTCCTTAGCGTTCTCTGGAATTGCGTGATTTCAATTATGAACGGTTCTAAAGAAGTTTTTGTACCTTGGAGGTGGTTGATCAGCTCCAGAATTCTGGAGAGTTCATCTGCATCAAAAGGCGATAAGGACATGTCTGAAGTGATTATCTCTGAAATGTCATGTTCAAAACAACTGAAGGCTAATGACAGGCGATCACTACCTGCACTCGCATGCATAACGACCTCTCTCAGTTCTTTGAGAAGCTTGACTCGATCCATCTGGTGGTTCGGGTAGCGTTCGCAGTGCGTCCTGCTCGTCTCAGGCGTTGACTGTCATACGGGATCTCGAAGCACATTGGAATTAAAATGATGGGAGAAGTCACTGAAACTTACACGATTGCAAATGACACACCAGTATTCGGACTCCAAGGCAAACCCTGCTCGCCAAGTTCATATCAGTGTGATCAAAGTTCAGCATAACGCACGAATGTGGCTCGGATCATCGACGCCCCGGAGCCCGCTAAAAATGTTCACTGTCGTTTCGTGGCTAGTATCGTGCAGCCAAAAGAGAGTTCGAGTTGCGTGGTCGACGAAGTAATATTGACAGGTTATTTCGTCTTCAGTCGGCCATAATTGCACAACAAGCTCAATGTCTTCGGCTTCGGAACTCGTTGATTTCGCGCGTGCCATATCGTATAGCCCATCTACGCATCCAGCGAGCAGGTGAAACGTAGTTTCATCCATGATGGCCTCAGTGAATGTTTTCTAAGACAATACGGTCAGTGGCCCATGAAACACCTGTATTTCCTTCATGATTGGACTTACTCGAGTCATATTGTATAAATACAATGCGCCTTCAGGATGTATGTATGACTTCCAATCACCATCCAACCATGGACATGACCTGCATGGTTTATCATCCCATTCAGATACTGTCTGGCTAATGCACTCACTTATTCGGGAAGTGCCTCATGAGTGCTGGAATGTGATCGCACTCATGGGCCTTATCTCTGGAGAGTGATTGCTCAAGATTATCCACTAGTATCGTCAAGGTGCTGCACGTACACAAGAGGACGATTATCATATCGCAAAACATCATTCGCAGCAAATGGTACAAAACGGAGAGTGGTGCCGGGAGCGTCGGAAGGAATCGCAACATTAACTTCTGGGGGCGAAGAAGTGTAAGACAGGATAACTCGCGCAGGAATGTATGGAACAGGCATAGAGTATGGAGGTGTTGAAGACGACGCCGCGTCTTGAATACCACTTGATGTACTAGTTGGGTTTATTTGGCGGTGAAGCGGCAATGGCAAGGTAGCCTGTGAACATCGTGCACTGAAAGCCCCGGGACAGCATGAATCTGCAGTGGAAGACTTTGCGCCAGTACTGTGTCCAGGTAAAGCGCGAGCCTTGGTGGCACAACACCGCAAGAAAGACACAAGGATACGGAGTCGCTGAACAGATGAATGTGCGAGCACCGCCAAGACTTGCCATAGACGTCTTAAAAGCTTGTGGATTAGCCCCGTGTTCGACATGTTTCGTCCTCGTCGTTTGCTGTTCAACTTGGGCGCTAGCCTCCCAGACCTAGAAGTGTAGGAGAATAGCGATTCCGAATCTGAAGAAAGGTCGAGCGCTTAATGGAATCTAGGTACGTATTACATAAACACTGTCGTGGTTTCAGTGGAATTCATATCAGTCCAGCTTCATCTGACCCGAAAGTTGTTGATGTGATCTGACAGGTTGGGATAGACCGAGCGTTAGCTCGGGAGGGCGGGCTAACTGCTTCAAATTCGACCATGTCGAACGACTCTTTGAGTAAACCACGAAACGATTGTGCATTAAAAACTTCGATAAGAACAATCAATTAAAAGGAGAAACTACAGAATATGAACTGAGGGTGCGAAGACGAAAAAAGGAGTGGCCAGTGGGTGGGTCGAAAGAAAGCTGTAGGTGCGAGTGAGGAGTTGCGAGGTACGACGCACTCGACGTGGCACGTGGTGGAGGAAGAAGAAAACGACCATAGGAAGCGAACAGCGAGTTCGCTCAGCTGGACTCGTGATGCCAGTTCATTCCGGCAGGCTACACCACCTGGCACTTATACAAGCACTGGAGTTAGCGACGTTATTTTCGGCTGACGGAGCTCGACAATCTGATGTGCGAGTGAGTACAGAGTTCTAGAAGTTTGATGGCATACCGCTTCCTCTCCAAAGTTCAAGGCGAAAAATATGAAAGCAACAGCAGAAGCGACAGCATATGACCAAGTGGCAGTGTCCGAGAAGATGGCATGAATTTCTCGAAGTTTCGGTGATAACGACGGAATGCCAATCAAAAAGAATGCCATGTCATAGAAGAGCCAGGGAGCAGAAAGAACGTAGACAGAAGGCTTTAAGCGGAACATCGTATATCAAACGAAAGATGAATACAGCGCTGAGAACATATAGCTGGATGTCGTTCTGGTAGTTTTGAACAGTGAGCAAAGTCATCTTGAGAACAAACGTGAGCTCATGGATGAAGATCAAGAATTAAAGGTCTTACCTGGCCGAGAGTAATGATGATATTATACGACGGCCAGCCTCCAATTCGTCGAGCCAGCATGTTCTGGATAGACTCCCAGTGCGAGGAAGTGTGACCGGTTGCACTGGACAGTTTGTCTCGTCTCACACATTCGAAGAAAGCCTCCTCAGACTTGACGAGGCACTTCGCAATAGAGAGTTCGCCCTATGGCATATGCCGGTACTCCGCTCATGGCGACTTCACGCAGGACATTCGGGTGATTGGTGGTTCGGGTAGCATTCGCAGTGCGTCCTGCTCGTCTCAGGCGTTGACTGTCATACATGATCTGGAAGCACATTGTAATTAAAATGATGAGAGAAGTCATTGAAACTTACACGATTGCAAATGACACACCAGTATTCGGACTCCAAGGCAAACCCTGCTCGCCAAGTTCATATCAGTGTGATCAAAGTTCAGCACAACGGACGAATGTGGCTCGGATCATCGACGCCCCGGAGCCTGCTAAAAATGTTCGCTGTCGTTTCGTGGCTAGTATCATGCAGCCAAAAGAGAGTTCGAGCTGCGTGGTCGACGAAGTAATATTGACAGAAGTTATTTCGCTTTCAATCGGTTATAGTTGCACAACAAGCTCGATGTCATCGGCTTTGAGACTTGTTGATTTTGCGCGTGCCATATCGTATAGCCCATCCATGCATACTACAGCGAGCAAGTGAATATTCAGATAGTACTGAGTCTGGCTAATGCACCGTGTCACTTATTTGGAAAGTGCCTCATGCAAAGACACTGACTCAGCCAGATGCTTACCACATCGGTAGTGAGTCGACTCAGGGTCTCCTTGGTGCTTACCATCAAGTTACAAAATCTTTGTATTGTAATCAGAATCATTCTCCCGCTGCTATAACAGCATATTCACAGGGCCATCAGTGACATCACGCAGCCCTACTATTAGGCCCCTGACATACTATAACGGCACATTCACATGTGCAGCCCTTGGCCCCTAACAACAATGCCACACAATAAGAGTATAGCTGGTCCCCTGGTTCGAGCTATCATCTTTGCCTACTGTTCAGGAATCCTTGTGGTGATAGGCATGACAGATTTCCTTGCCTCAGGGTTAGGGTTTTATAGATGGGTCAGTGGGGCACAAGCCATCTGGGCTATGATCTTTACCTGGGGTCTTGCCCTTACACTATCCCTTATTCCCATGACACGGGCAGGGGTTCAGGACCAGCAAGGAAGACTAGTTGGTCCTGTCCAATTTCTGTCTTTCATTTTCACTATCTTTTGGGCTGTATGGTTTGGTAAGTCATATCTAGGATTCAGGAATATAAGCTAAAGTTTTCAGACCCACGGTCAGATGAGTCAGCACCTGCAGGTCTATTTGTAGGTGTATCTCGATATGGGGTTATACTTCTTGGTCATCCCATATTCACCTTATCAATTGGATTCTTCACGGATCTCAATTTGCAAATTCATCCACTTATTGGCCTTGGAGGGGTCCCTCCAGGAACATATGTGAGTACAGCATACTATTTGTAAGTTTTATTTTTATTTTTATTCATCATTCATCATAAAACTAATTATCTACATTGAAGCCTACTAGTACTAATTCACTTTCATTGCTTTGCTTGTAGCAACATTCCACAAGCCCTGAATCATGTATTGACAGACCTGCCTGAAACCACACCATACTGTCACATTGTCACAGCACTTTGCTGTGCTAGTATGTTTTTATTCTATTCTGTTTTGTATGATACATTATTAGGTTGTTGAGTTGTTGAAGTCTCTACATCACATACATTACAATAAGATGGTACTTTCTGAATCTAATGCACTGTTGGTGAAGATGTCTTCTGTGTTGGATTATGAATGTACTTAGTACCAGCGAGCGCAACTTGACTGGAACCTCTCGCTTATGTAATGTTTTGTAATACGGACCATAGACCATTAGTTAGCATGACAGACCGGCTATCTTTTACTAGCATACTATAGTATAAATACTGATATTTCAGATGTAGATAGTTTAGAGAAAATAACTTGTGTTTTTGATCTTAAACCACAGGTAGTGATGTGCATGGCCTGGCTTCAGGCTGTGGGCTGGCCAAAGCCAGCCCCCATTAAGCCGGGCCAAGCCAAGCCAAAGTCACGGCTTGCACAGGGCTTTGGCCTGGCCCATCATTTTGCAAAGCCGGAGCCGCCGGCCCAGGCCAGGGCTTTTAGGGTAGTATAGGGTATTCATACTGCCCTTCAATTTTGGTGAGTGATTCGCCAGTTTCTCCATGCCAGACAATGACTTTTCTGCTATCATCACTGCTTGCTATCAATTGCCCATCTCATGATACTGCCAATCTTGACACCTAGTCGCGATGCCCCTCCATCTCCTTCAATGCAACACCTGTCTTCAAGTCCCACAGACGAAGCATTGTGTCATACATTTATCAGGGAAAACTGCGACTGCACTTATGCGTCTTTCATGGCCTTTGAACCATCACAGGGGAGTGGTGATTGTAATGAGCTCCGACATTTTACTGAATGTTGATGGTATGGAATACAGACGGGGCTAAACTTTGGAAGGATTATGTCTTTCTCTAAGCTGCAGAGGGTGTATGGTGCTTTTTATGGTGCTTTGCAGCTTGCCTCATTTCAATAGACGCCCAGGACATCTAAGGCTGTTCGTGCTCACACCTCCATCACCGTAATCCATGCACCCTATTGTCATACCCGCTGTCCTTGACGTATGCACATCTGCAGTGCATACATGCGTCCAACTCTTGTCTTCCCAGCTTCCAGAATATATCCCATCACATCAAGTTGAGCAGTCTGTTGTAGAGATACAACAATTGCTGAGCACTACATGAAGTAAGTAGCCAGCAATATAAAAATGTTGTGGTTGTGCACAGCCTAGTCTGCTATACTTGCAAGACAAGTGCGTTTGACCCGAGGGGTTAGCTATATGGAATGGTCTGTAGTTAGTGAAACGATAAATGGTTAAAAGTCCGAGCGCAAGAAACAAAGTCCGAGGGTATATCTACGATGTCCAACGCCAAAGCGTCGGGTCCGATGTTTTTGGGTTTCGGGTTCGGGTCTAGCGGGTTTGCAGGAATGGCAATAGCGAACATCGGGAAAGCGAGTGGTATGCGGATATATGATAACGACGGGTATTTTGGATAGAAAGAGCGGTAATATTCGCAATGTCAATTAAGAACTACGAAATATCAGGTTTGACCACTAAGTATCGGGAAACGGCTCCCTACTACTTGGATAATGAAAATACTCGTAGTCAGTCCAATATATATATAAGTACGTAGAAATCTGGAACCCTATAGGCGAAAGTAACGGCCGACGATTTCGGGTCCGAAGTACATGTAAACTAACATGAGGCACTGCGGATGATGGGAAAACATGTAATAGCGCTTGCTACGATGTGAGTAATGTGCGAAATAATCAACTATGCACCTAGTGGGGCTAGCAAGACGGGACGGGACACGGATAGGACAAGTGTGCGGGAAAATATTGGGTCCGATGCGGCCAAAACATCGGGTCTGCTAGTCAAAGCGTCGGGTTGTGCGGGTTACATTGGAAAGTGACGGGCATTAAACGTGTATCGGGAAATCAGTGAATACGAGCCTAGCGCGAGCTCGAGTGCTACACCATGCTTTCCAGCGCTCGTCTATCCTCCATGAATATTGTTGTTTTTTCGTAGTATCTAGCAGCTACTCTGGCTGATCACCACATTACTCCTTCGAACGCATGTATATAGCTTACTGCAATATCACTTCTCCATCCAAATTTGCCTACTCATTTTCGTACTCAGGCCGCTGTAGAGATACAACAATTGCTGGACACTACACGAAGTAAGTGTTTAGCAATATAAAAGATGTTGTGGTCATGCACAGCCTAGTCTGCTATACTTGCAAGACAAGTGTGTTCAACCTGAGGGGTTTGCTGTATGGTATTAGAATAATCAGTTATAACAAAAGGAAGATAGTCCGAAGCGCGGGAAACAAAGTCCGAAGGTATAATTACGAGTCCGATGTCAAAAATGTCGGGTCCGATGTTTTTGGGTTAGTGGGTTTGCCTCAAGTTGCGTCGGGTTAGTGTCGGGTTTGCGTTGGGAATATAGAGAATGTCGGGGATAGCGAATGGCGGGTTACTGTCAGATGTTTCGGATAAAGAAAGGATGATATTGCGGAATCCAACTAAGAACTACAAATATCAGATGACCTCCTCCTACTCAGAGGTAGAAAGGTAAGTAAATAGGTAGGAGGTATGCAAAATATATAGTATCTATGTAGAATTTCGGAGTGCTATAGGCAAAAGTAGTAGCGCTGATTTTCGGGTCTGATGTCCTATGTAATAAGACACGATGTACTGCGGACATGTAATAACACATTCTACAATGTTAGCGACGTGAAAATGAATAACTGTGCACCTAGTGGGGATAGATACAACAGGACAGGACATAGGGAGGACAAATGCACGGGAAAATATCGGGTCCGATGTGTGGGAAACGTCGGGTCTGTCGGATTAGCACCGGGTTTAGCGGATAAACATCGGATTGAGTGAGTTAGTGTCGGATTGAGTGGATGAGTGTTGGATAACATCGGGAAGTGATTCAGATGTTTGACATGTATCAGGAAATAGCTGGATATGAGCCTAGCGCGAGCTTGAGTGCTACACCGTGGCTCAGGCCAGGCTGGGCCAGAGCCAAGCCCTTGTTGAGGGCTTTGGCCTGGCTTGTGATTTCTGAAAGCCCAAGCCATCTGAAGCCAGGCCGAAGCCAGGGCTTTCGAGCCAAGCCGGGCCAGAACATCACTAACCACAGGTTATGAGCCCTGCATTATAGCACTCACTCTCACTTGTTCTCATTGTTGCTCTTGCTGTTGATTTGTTCTTGCACTCTTGCTTACATCATTATTGTTTGCCTACTGGGGCTGAATCCAGCAAGTCGTTGTAGGTATACAACACAGAGTGGGGCTATACAAAGATGGCTCCAAACTGATATCTTTATGTTGTGGTCTTGCACTGCCTATCTGCTATACTTGTGGGACAAGTGCACTTGACCCAGGGGTCTGCAGTCTGGGAATAGTTTTGGGGGTCAGTGGGTGATGTGAGGTCAATAATCCAAGCATGGGAAACAATGTCCAAAGGTATAATTACGATGTCTGATGCAAAAGTGTCGGGTCC